TAATCTTCCTTATAAACAAACATACAAACCAAAAAAATAACAGACGGAGGAAAACACAACCTCTTAGGTGGAGGTAATAAATACAAGTGGCTCTGAATCAGCAGCACCACTTTGAAATGAATCTGAAAGGCATAAATATGAAGAGAAATACTTAATATACATAATTTAATAAAGATAATAAAAGGTATCGGCCAAATGATCTCAGAGTTTGCACAAAAGAGCAGCAGCACATGAGGCATGATCCATTTTAATGCTTTCTGTAGTTTAGAAGCCAAAAGAGACCCAGGGAGGGAGCAAGACAGATTTTCATTGGGGGGGTTTAGAGAAAAAAAAACTCAATTACTGTTTGCAGACTGTTGTTAAGGACGGTTCCATGATCAAACACAATTTGGATCAAACCACGACTTTATTTCACATTCTCTCACATTTCCAATCAAGGACCGATTAGCCTCAGACATTAATGAGCCTACTAATCCATTTGGGCCCCTCGTGATAACAGTTAATTGTCTGTAAAAATGTGTACAGATCCCCGTTTGGGTTGTTTACTAACTGATTTGGATGTGGTTAAGCCCTAAAGAGGTATCATTATGTTGATAGTTCTTTGGAAAATGAGCCCCTGATGGAGGCAACACCAGAGGAGGAAAGTTAAGAATGCGCAGGGCTGCTTTAAACCATTGCTCACTTGAGTGCAAATTTATCACTATCTTAAGATAACATTTGGCTGTCATCTGCCCTCATTACATTCATCTGGAATTAGAGTTTTCTGTTTTGCTCACTGCGCTGCAGTGAAGAATGTTTTTTTACATAAACCTCAAACATTTGAATTGACTTTGACTCTGACTGTAAAGTCCAGAGGGGGAAAGATGCATGGAAAGTGGACGACAGGATGTTAAAGGCAAAGAGCTTAATTTGACTCTGCGTCCTCTGTGTCCTCTGCTCCATGTTTGTGGCTTCATTCAGACCTAAATCCAAATTATGGCTAAATTCAATTTCAATTTGTGGAGTCGGAAAAAGATTCATGTTGGCCTGAGCTGTCGCAGAAAGTTATCCTTGACAGTAGTTACGAATGTTAAGTTAAATGAGAGGAATTTGAGGTTACTGCTGTGAGGTTTGCTGCCATCGTTCTTCTGAATCTCATGTCATCAAAGGTCTCTCACAGAATTAACTCTTACATATTGATATTTGAAGCTTTATACTTAAATATTTAGCGTCTCTTTAATGGAGAATGAATCCCAAATATATTCAAACAAAACTGTTTGAGTAAGTTTGTGTCTATGATTATAAGGTAATGGTGGAA